TACATTAGGGACGGCTAGCGCAGATAGCCCTCGTGTAGCTTTGCGCGAAATTCAAAAACAAACAAACACCTACTTAAAATACCTATCTTACTTAAATGTTCGGTTTACTCCTAAATATATTGACAAATACGTCTTCATTGTCAGACACTAATTTGAGAGGATTATTAGTCCAAGTTGGGTTTAATTAAAAGTGTTTTAAAGCCGTTTCTAAGACTGTATACTTTTCTCCCTGTAACAAAGGTCGCCTCCCGAACCTTCTGTGTTCGTGGCTTATTTTTTCTACATACGTGTGAAAAATGCAATACCTCCCACATTATCAAAGTGAAACGCCACCTAGAACAAGCATATGGCATTGTTATTAAAAACCAGTAATAAACCAAACGATCCTCAATCTGTTCCAAGATGTAAACGCAATGAAAACACACCCCCTTCCTCTTACTCTTGTCTCTAGTGGCTCAGCAGTAAGTATGAAACTTATAACTCTAGAAACCAGTTTTTTTTACCCATGTGGGCACAGCATAGATTGCCCATTGCGTAACTTTGCGCTTAACAACAAGCAAACAAATAACATCATTTCACTCTTAATAATTTACATTCGTTATTCATATTGACCCCCAGTGGCACAGCGGTATGTCTGCAGACTTATAACCCTAGAAACCGGGTTTCGATACCCGTGGTGGGCAGAGCACAGATAGTCCATTGCGTAGCTTTGTGCTTAACTGCAAACAAAAACCTTATTCATATTGACCCTCAGTGGCATAACGGTATGTCTGCGGATTTACAACGCTAGAAACGGGGTTTCGATACCTGTGGTGGGCAGAGCACAGATAGCCCATTCTGCAGCTTTGTGCTTAACTTAAAACAACAACAACCTTATTCATATTAAAATTCATATCCTTAACCCTACCTATACTTGTTATATTCGTTTTGTATGTTATTGTAGGTTTTTTTTTATCTCAAGTATATTCCAAGAATAACGAAGGTTTGAAACTGTTATATTCCGAAAAGTTGATCATGCTTTTGTTATTATTATTGTCGTTTTCTTGTTGTTAATTAAGCCACATCATTTATATATCAAATAAATCAAATGAACACCATTATTCAAATCCTAAAACATGACAGATCATTTACCTATGTTATAAAACTCGACATTAAGTATCTGTGTAAATCTTACACTTGCTTGATATTTGTTAGTTTAAAAAACCAATAATGGGTTAGCTTTGCTCTGCCCATCGCGAGTATTGAAACGCATCTTTTAGCATTATAAGCCCATAGTTTTACCACTTAATGACCAAAGGGCGATAAAGTATCTAACGATTAAGTTTCGTATCTTACTTTTCGTTCACTAAGAACCAAATAATCAATGTTTTTGCCAAACTAAATGTTCACTTCGTAAATAAATTGTCATGCAGTGTATTTCATATCTCATACTCAAACAAATCGGCTCATACAATAAGTATAGTATCCCATGATTACTTAACATTTTAAGGAAGTCATTTTTTTTGTTGCAAAAATATCTTTATATTTAATTTAATTTGGCGTGATATTAAATGTCAGTTCTCTCCAAGTAGTGGGACTGTGGGAGCATGATACTCTAGTTGTAAAATATATTGTTACGTCTTTGGTCGTT